GCCACGCCACTGTGGGTTTCAGGTTACCCTCAATGCTCAAGCTCAAGACTTGAGGAAAGACAGCAATCACTTTGGTCACTTGCGGTCGGCTCAGCCCAACATCGTCCAACCATGCCACTGTGGGTTTCATTTTGCCCTGAATGTGACAACCCCATAGTTGTGGAAATCGGAACGCGAGGGATTCTGTACTGCGCCTTGAGAACTGCAATTCCACTTCCAAAAAATTGCGCACCCTTTCCTTTTTTGTCTCAACATCTCTCGTGAGGGTAGCACCACTTGCGAACTGGCACGCCTCATTGAAGACGGACAATCTCTCAAAGCACCGTGCACTTTGCAGACGTTCACAGACATCTGCCCGCAGAACATCCTTGAATCTGCTCAGAATGGCTTTGGCCACTTGGCGCAGAGCTTTCATCAAGGGCTTCTTGTGGCCAGCTGGCCAGGGATCGACCATCACTTCTGCAGAATGTTTGGTGCGGCTCAGAGCTCGATACATGTGGCCTATCCGGACAACGCAGGACCCTCGGGGCGAATATTGCAACAAGGCTTCCGTCTTGCGTTCATCTGCTTGTTGGCCCTGCTCGTTATAGTGGCGAGGATGCCCGTCGTACTCGACAAACAAGGAAGCACCTTCCTTTTTCAGCACGCCATGCGCCGTCATGTCCGGGCAGAGCCATCTCACTCCCCACATCTCCGAGGGCTCCACCGGGAAGTCACGGAAGAGCTCTGCAATGGGCTCCTCGGGCATCAGTAGCACAGCCAAATGGGATAGGAGCTCCACCTCCGCGTAGCTTCGGTGCACTTCCCGGGGACGCCCGGCCCTCCACCAGCCAGGAGCACTGCAAGCAGCTACACCCAGAGCAAAACAGCAACCCACCAGCCAGAGCCCCGAGCCCATCCTCCTCCATTTTCTCCCACGCATCAGCATCATACCAAAGTCTTGCCCTCTTGAGCCTCGCATCTGCTCTAGGCCGGGAATCCAGGGTGCCAGATGCAAAGCTGCTACACGTAGCCTGACCAAGATTCGATGTGATTTTTGGCTTACGATTCAATCTGACTGCTTAAAGTCTTGAACACAGCATCAGATTAGAAACTGGGAGGTAGCTTGCAACCACAGGTGGGTCGCATGCCTGCATCATCTGCAAAGCAGGAACCTGTAATTCGCAAAACACATGCACGGGAGTGTAAATGTTCTCTTTCTCAGTGATGACAACGCCCCCCGAATAACGGCAAGACTCAAGTTACCGCCAACTGAACCCTCAGCCCACTGCTCCCCACCAAACCCTACACCGAGCACTTGGTGCCCGGCGCCCCAGCAACGCTGCCACCGCCAATAGCGTAGCATGCTGCCTGGGTTCTGGTTATGGGGTTGGGGGCTCAGAGAGCAATGCTTGGTGTGTAGGATATAGCGGTGCAAGGCTTTGGCTTGGACATGCTGTCTACGACTTTGGAGTGACATGTTTTTTGAAAGGGCCTGTGGCATCGCCACTGCAGGCTGGAGAGCTTAACACATGTGGTACCGGAGTTTGGATGCTCAGGAGGAGCTCATGGTATGACAAATGTTCTAGAAACCCTGCTTTGGGTTCAGGCTTCTGGGGACGGTCATCTAGGAAATCGCAAGTTCCCAAACGCACATGATGGTGATAGGTCTGCTTTCCTTAGAACATCATCAACCTCACCAGTTGGATGTATGCTTTGCATTGGGGCTAAACGACATTCTCCAAGCTTTCTCCTCACTCAAATAGACTCCATCATCAGATTTTAGACGCGCCCTTCCTCTAGCAACTGTGGCGACAGGGTCGGGACTGGTAAGGAGTTGCTGGGGGGAGGGGAGGCGCTCTTTGGCACCTTCTGATACTGAAAACCACCAAGCTGAAAACCACCAAAGCCCTTGGAACTTCCAAAACCCTGGCCCTAAACACCACAAAAAAAAGGAGCCCCCCCAAGACATTCCGGCATGTTCCGACAAAGTGCAATCTAACCCCAGACTCAAACCTTAACCCCCCCCCACACAGTAAATCTGAAATCTAAGCTCTGAGCCAAAGAATCCCTACATCCGCCCGTACGAGGCTCACCCAAGTCTGACAACACCCTAAACCCAAAACCTTAAACCTTCGCCACCAAAGCGCCCGCCGGAGTTCCTCACCGTGCTCCTCCCTCAGGCGTCAACGGCTTGGGGTTTAGGATTTAGCGGTTGGAACTTGCTTTTTAGGACTTCCAGATGCGTAGAATTTGCAGTTTAGGGTTGAGGATTTCAGTAGGCTTAGGGCTTAGGATTTGGGGTGTGGTCTAGGTTTTAGGCGGGGCAGGGCGCAGGGTTGCAGGGTTCAGCGGTTAGGTGGCCAGCCTCCAGTCCTGGATGCTTGGGGAAGGTGGCCAAGGAAAGCGTTTCAGACGGAGTTTTTGTGTCACAGCTTGTTTTAAGCTGTTGCAGGTTTGGGGGCGCAGGGGCATAGACGGTTGCATGGGTTGCCATGCTGGCTTGAACACATTAATCTTCAAAAGGTTTGAGCGTTCTCACGCATTTACTCGCGGGCTCCGGGTCCTATGTTTTGGTGGCGCGAAGCTTCAGGTTTCAAGGTGCAAGCATTTGCATAGGCCTTACCCAAGGAGCCCAATGTTGTTCAATTAGGAAATATGCCTGAAATCATATTCAGGGTCCTAGTACAACTCAAGGTAGATTCCTGAATCAAGCTATATTGGGCTCTATGGGTGGAAAAACCTGCTTCAGATTGTACATCCTGGCTTGCCGAGTTAGAAAAGCAGAGATAACGTACTGCCTTGCATCTCCCCTCGCTTCTCAACACAAATGTGGATACCTCCACCCTATAGCTTCAATCCGTACACCCCAAGTCCCCAGTCGTACAGCGCCCCGAACCTCTAGACCCTCAAGATCAGAGAAAACAGCGCAGACCCCAACCCCAACTCCCAAACCATGTACCCTCAACCCTAACTTTAAGTCCCTAAAGCGACATATGCCCCTCTGCACCCTTCAATAATCTGTTTACACCACTCTACAATGCCTTTACAGGGACGCCTCCGTCTACCACACCTGAGCCCAAGCCGCCCAAAACGCGGAATTGAAAGCAATAAAACTTAAACACAACATTGTCGTAAACCCTGAACGCTAAACTTTTAACTCCAGAAACCCAAAACTCTACACAACACCAATACCCCCTAAGCCTACCCTCAACCTAAACCCTCAGCCCTGAAGTCTAAAACCACGAAGGCCTCAGCTTCTTGGCGCACAAGAAGGTGAGGATGTCGGGATAGCCCCCTGCCACGGCAGCACTCGGGATGAGCGTGGCCTGCATCGCAATGTGCAGATCAAGTTTAGAATAATCTTCTCGTGGCTGCAGGGCATGCTATGAAGGCTGTATGGGGGCTATAGGGCTATAGATGGTGATGTTTTCAGGATGCGTCTGGGTCCAGGCGGTCCGGGGTTTCAGACTGGGGGTTCGACTGGTAATTTCATTGATGGTTTTGAAAACTTTTTGAAGAAAAGAACAAGCTAAGGGCTTAGGGGCTTTGGGCTTCAGATTTTGGAGTCTGGAGTTTCGGTGTGCAGGGCTTGGAGGACTTAGGGTTTGGAAGTTTGCAACAAATATAGAGGCTGAAGGGATCCGCACTCGGGACTTGAGCTTTACAGTCTGTAGGTGCGCCCGTCCTTGCTTCAACTGTTCCTGTGGCCAACGCCTTCGAATCTCGAGCTTTTGCTTCAAGGCGGCCCCGGCTGGGTTTAGATTTCATAGAAGGATCAACAGCCCAGGCCTTTGATGATTCCACAACTTAAGGTTAAACTCAGGTTGAGTTTGAAAGTTTAGGGTGGGTCGCTCTTCTGCGGCCTATGAACCTAAATCGTCACCTTCCCGAAGGTTCGGCTTGGGGTCCTGGACTCGCAAGCGCTGAAATCCCTTAACCTGCTCAAGACCCTGAATCCTGAAATTCAAACCCCAAGCACTTGAACGACATGCTTTAGAAGCCAGAGAAGACAAAAAGTGTTTCACCTGTCAATCCTTGTCTGAAGTACCGGCGACTTGTCTCAAGTACCGGCGACTTGTTGCAAGTTGTTCCGGCCCCTTAATTTACTGTACCCCAGAACATTAGGTGTTCGAATTAGACTACACTCTCACTAGCCGCCTACTTCCTGGTGCTCAAGGGAGAGTGGAAAAGTGGATCCCGACAATAATGCCATGTACCATCCCTTCTGAATCCCTGCCAAGCAAGTGGGTAGGGGTTTGGGGGGTACATAGGGTTATAGAGGGGATAATGGAAAAGAAAATGGAAGCAACCATATTATAATCGGGATTACATTGGGTTTACATACAAGTCCCTGCACTCACCCCTCCACTCCCGCTTAAGCACCAATAAGCCTAGGCCCCCGGCCCCGCTCTTGCGAGCTTGCTCATGGAGAGCCAAGGTCCGGTGTGACCTGGGTTTAGGGTTTAGGCGTGTGGCGCCTGGGGTTTGGGAGGATTTAATGCTTCAGATCTACTGATACTGAGGGTTAGGGATCAGGGTGTAAGGTTTAGCTTTTGGTATGTCAGCTTGAGGTTTAAGGTTACGTTTAGTGTTCAAGGTTTTGGGTGTGGAGTTCAGAGCTGTCGGTGGTCTGACTTGTTGGGAGTTGCTCCAAACGGGGTGCCTTTTCTAGGTTTACAGGGATATACAGGGCATCTAGGATTTGGGGTTTCAGGAATAGGTTTGGCGGTTTTGATTTTTCTTAAATGGAGAGGGGCTGTAGGCTTTCATGGAGGTTATAGAAGGGCAGTACGTAGGGTCTCTGCTAAGACTTCTGTTGCTGCAATTTTGAGGAACAACCATCTGGCGCATAACTGCCCTGGTGACATGGTTACTACAAGTTACTACTGCTCTGGCAATGGCCAGTACGACTACCGGTGCCGGTGCTGTTACTGTAAGCATCACCATCGTGCGTCTATGATGGAACAAATCCACAAAACTAAACTTCAGCCCAGGTTGAAGCCCTAAAGGAACCCTAGCCTCAGCCGCAAAGACAACCCCAAAAGCCTCCAACCAGACCAAAAACCCTGCCTCAGCAGCCAACACCTAGAACATATTCTCCAAGTGAAACCTTCAACCCTCTAACCCTAAAATCTGAGCACTAAAACCTAGAACCTACTTTCCTAACCGGTTAGACTTTACTCCTGCGAAACCTGAGGCCAGGTGGCCAAGGAATCTCTCCGCTGACATCGCAGTAGTCAGTGCCACAGCGGCAGCAGCAATCCAGGAGGAGCTCACCCTGTCTCCAGAATTCTATTGCTTGGGCATTAAGGAGGGGTTTAGGGTTTAGGGGCTTGCGGGTCTTGAGATCAGGATGTCACGTTGGCTGCTTAGGGTATGGGGTTTGGGCGGGCTTCAGGTTTAGGGGGTTAGGCATTTGAGGCTTGAGGGTTTCGTGGTTTATGGCCTGAGCGCTTCGTTTTGAAGAGTTTAGGGGTTTAGTGTGTAGTTTCTGGGCAAAAACGATTCCGGTGAATGGCTGCTTGACTGGGCACACTGCTCTTGCCGCGTCTAGGACTACCATCACGAATCGCGAGCAAGCATGTAACAGGGTAAGTAGCAGAAGTTGGAATTATATTGGTGCCCACAACTGGACATGCCGAAACTTCCCCAAGGAACATCCCAGGCACTGGCCAGATACAATTCATACGCAGCTTCCATACTTTGAAATTCCCAGCTTAGGGGTCCCTGGAAATCCAGCACCTGCGTCAGCATGTACGGGCCGGCCACGTTGACAATCACGTAGGCGCTTCGGCACCTAAACGCTACTAGGGTTCCAGGCATCAGAAGCCTGCTTCGAATTTCAGAAATGAAATAGTGATAAGAAGTATTAGTGCAGAACTATAATAGTAGATGTTTGGCTTAGGGTTGAGGAGGAGCAGGGGGGGGGAGGATGGGCGGAAGAGCAACACCTGCAGGTTGCGGACTGCCGAGTGCGGGTTGGGGACACATTAGCATTGCGCTCACGACCTTTACAATCACTTTGGGTTGAAAGATTTACGTTTTTTTTTGTTTTTGGGGCAGGGTTTAAGTTCAAAGTTCAGGAACACTCCTTGGCAGCAATGCTTCAAAAAAGCTTCTGGAGGAATATATTCAGGTTCGAAATCCTCAAAATGACGGTGAGCAGAATAAGTGCTTCAGTAAATTGTCTACAGGCCCTAAACACTGAAACGTAAATCCAAAGCCCCGAGGAGCAAACATGGAGAACTCACAGGGCCATGGTTGATCTCACCCAGAACCAAAAATGGAACACCAAACAGCGCTGTACAAAGACTGCTGTCCGCTTACAGCAGGCTACAGAGGGTTCCTTGCTACCTGGGGAGAGGGCAAGAAACATGGACCCCCATATAATTCTTAGCCCTCCTTGCATTGGAAGAGAATAATAGAAAGCTGAGGATGCGACAAGTCCATCAGAGAGAAGACGTCATCATAGGATGCCTGGCGCAGGGAGCTCTACTTAGCGGCCACTTCAACGGTTAAGCGTGTACGGTTATGGGAAGGGCTTACTTACTGGTGGTTAGTAGGGAATAAGACCATATAATCCGTATGTAAGCCTTGCATACTATATTCGCCTGTTCCCTACTAAAACCCAGTAAGTTTCGGGTTTTAGGATTTGGGCTTCAGGCTGGGAAGATTGGTTTGCAGTTTTGACATTAGTGATGAGATGTCTTGAGGCTCTGATTGCATGGGGTTTAGAGTAAGGAAGAGCAAGTGGGACTCCTCTCATGAAGGACTCAGAGCACGACTCTTCTTGTCTTCCTTCGGTGACAGACTTACCTTCCACAAACCAACATGGAACCCTTTCTGAGGAACTTAACAGGGATTGTATATCGGTACTTTGGGACTTTTGGGAATGTATCAGGGTTCAGGGCTTAAACTCCCCCAAGTTAAGATGGAACCACTTTTTCTCACTGTTCGGCTTGAAGGGGATTAGTTCACATTCCGCAGCTTGTCTGAGTGAGCGTACAATTTTCGATGCGGTCTTCCGCATTCATCTCTTCTCTTCTCTGCCGCAAGTGCCACACAGCCCAAAGCTCCCAAATTGATGGTCCCAGGGAGACAGCGGCGGCCTATTTCAGACATGGGATTTGCTCCTCCACTTTGAACCTGTAAGCCAATCCTTTGAAACCCAAATTCATAAAACCCTCTCCCTGTGCCTGAATGATTGGCGTGTCCTCCCACTCAGTTCCAATGAACCTCAGTGACAAGCATGAAGAGTTTGCGCTTGGAGGCTTTACTTGCTATGGGATCCCTTTTGACGATTTGTATGAAGGTTATGTACGGAGCACAGGTGCAAAGTTTGGGGGATGGGGCTTTTTTGTGGTGATTGAACCAAGTAGGAATGAATCTCTCTTATCAGATACGACATCTAAAAAGAGGACATTCATTGCAGGCTCTTGCCCTCGCGATAAAAAATCCTGCCCATTTAGAACCGCAAGCAGGGCCCGCTTCAGTCTTTGAAGTTCGAGGCTTCCTAAGAATACTCTACTGTGGGGCCCTAGAAAATTACCAGTATTATTTTGAATTCTAATTAGGCACCCTCTACCGTACACAGGGAACCTGAAACCATCATATTGGTAATGATTGGGGCTTCTATATTACACCCTCTAGCAGTGGTTGTAGGATTTAGGGATCAAGGTTTAGGATTTAGAGCAGACTGGAGAATCAAAAGGAAATTGAAAAACTTAGCTATGTGGGAGCCAGATTTGGGTCAAGGAATTCTGGATCACTCTTGCAGATGGTTCCTCATGCTTTTTGGCATACCGAAGATCAATCAGGAATGCAGGCTATAGTGTAATCGTTTCAATAGCATCCCAATAAGGCGCAGAAACCCCCTAAACCCTAAACACCAAAAAACCCTAAACCCTGAACCCTAAACCCTAAACCCTGAACCGAAGAGCCCTTAATGAGTTCTTGTGATGTCCCAGATTGAACAGCGGTATCGAGGTGGGGACAAGGGATTGGGTTTAGGGTTTAGGGTCTAGGGTTATGCGTGTTTTGTGGTTACCGGTGGCGGGGTCTGGTTTGACTTACTGCCGTCAAGCTTCTAAAGCAGTGAGGTCTGAGCCGCCAATCCTGGGAAATTTAGCCTGCCCACGGCTCACCTTGCTCCCAACTAACATGCAATGCCAAAATAGACCATGCCAAACTGTCGGTTACGAACGACTCAGATGAGACTCCATGTTATGCAGGGGATTGTATATTATCCCCGTTCAAGATCTTAGTGCCAAGGCCTGTCATTGGTGCGGGCTCCACTTGGCAGCCAGATTGCTTTGGAATTCCCACGATAAGTTTAACTTTGAGCCCCCCTGATATGAAGAAAGGGAAGCCCAGAAGTGTTAGGGTCCTAAGTTGTAGTTTTGCCCCACCAATGTATCACGGGAGTCTCACCCTCACATTGCCTGCAATGCCGAAAACCCTGGCTGCAAGGTCTCAGAGACATCATGAATGAGATGCATTAGGCCACAGAAAACCCCCCAAGAAGCAACGTCTCGGCTTCATGCCGACCTAGCCCAAAGCCTGGACGACCCAAACTTTCAAGCCAGACCAACTTAATGAGAACTCTTGCCCTGAACAACCTCCAGCCACCAAACGCCTGCATACTCCAACATCTACTGCGGAGCTCCGTCTCCCCATTTGATATGCAATCCGCTCTCCTGGAATCTTACGGCAACGCTGATCTGGAATACGTCCCCTCAACATATTTGGTGTCTTCCGTGGTATTTTTGATCTTGGGGGCTAGGGGCTATTCCTGCTCCCCCATGCTCCCCCAGCACGGGCCAGCTAATTTTTCAGAATGGTCAACATGGGGGCTTCGTAGATGCGTGCCTCCCTTCTACCCATCCCAACAGACGGTGATCTCGCTTATTTGGAGCCAAAAATGTTACAGCGGAAAACTCCAAAATTAAGACAGATTGGCTGCAACCCTGAACTCTAACACCACAACCCAAAGACCTCGACCCTAAACCCTAAACCCTAGACTCGGAATCCTACATTCCAAGCCCTGAATCCTGAACCCTGAAACCCCCTGAACCTGAATCCTAAACTCCAGAACAATTTAACAGAGGCACTCCCGATCTCGTAGCTCACGAACCTGCAGGGCTTCTTCTGGGGGGGGTTTAAGGCTCAGGCTTTGGAGTTTAGGGATTCGAGGCTGTTTCTGAGGGGTAGAAGTTTGGGACCTGGGGTTTGCGACTTGAGTTTAGCTTTCTGAGTTTATATAGGCTTCAGGGAATGGGGCTTAGGTGGCAACTAGTTTGTTAGCCAGTGAAGCGCTTCAGATCCTGGGAAAAAGAATTGCAGTGCAGCAATTTAATGCCAAACCCTCACCCTCCACTGCCGTAAACAACCGAAGAGCCCGAAATCCAAAAAGCCCGAATCCTAAGACGGAAGCCCCAAGCCCGCCCGAAACCCTCAACCCTGCGCCTGACATCTTGACAACAAAGCTATAAGCCTTAAGCCCCAAACGCCGCCAACTAACTTGGGCTTTTGATTTACTTGAACCCCAACCCTCATTCGTGAACTTGAGCATGAATTCGTAAACTTGAGCTTTATTTAAATCAGCATCTAATGCCCTACGCTTGGCTCGCGGGGCCTTGTTAGCCGTCCGCCCGGCCAGGGCGAACGTAAATGGCTCCGGATTCCGCTTCAGCGCCGTTTCTTAGAATTAGAAGGAGGAGGAAATCGGTCTTGAAGCTTTGGAGTGTTGAGGTATAGGGTTCAGAGCTTAGGGCTCTTAATGGGGAGAGTGTGTTAGCATTGTGTGCACGGGGGGGTTGAGGGGTCATAGAATCAGGATTCAGGGCAAAGGGCTTTGCATGCAGGGTGTGCAGGTGGTACTAATTACCTAGGAAACGCCCCCGAGATGCAGTCACATAGTGCTCCCTCAGAATCCTGCATTCATTAAACAATCATACCATGCCCTCAAAATCATGCAACCCCATGTAGCCCGGCTTTCAAAGGTCTGTCGTCTTTAGTTGGCAATTTGGGTTCCATGTCTGTGTTGAGAGAAAGTATGCGACCAGGGCCTGCGTGGGTTTCCTCCAGGTAAGATTGAGCCCTAAAAAACAAAACTGTGCGGCTGCTTGGCTGGGGCGCTCGGTTTTGGGGATTTGGGCCCCCAAGTTTTGTTGGGCTTGGCCAGCAGTTCGCACACTGCGGAAACTGACAGACAGAACTGGTGTTTCAAGTGCTTGGCTGAGAGATCTGGGAACAATTTCAAGCTCTTGGATTGCCTCGCTGGACTTCTTACTGCCACATTCCTCAAACTGCACCCAGCATTTTGCGTCGAAGACTTTTTGAACTGATGGTCCGCCTCAGACTTTGCCTTCAGCCTAAGCCCTTATCAACTGGGAAACCTAAGCCCCCATGAACCCTCAAACTCAATTAATAGCCATAGAAAAACACAGTGACACAGGTAATGGCAATACATTCCAGACCTCAAACCCACAGTCCGTCCTTCAGATCATCGAAAAAAAAAATGCGCAACCCGGAGGTATCTGAACATGCGTATCAACCCCTTAGACATCCAGCACTCGCCGGGGTATAGCCAAGGTGCTTTTCAGGTACTGTATCATGAGATAACCGGTGTAGCCAGAGACACCTTGGAGAGCCAAAAGAATCTCAATCTTCATTGCATACCCACGCCAGAACTAGCAGGAATCCTCAAAGCCCCATCAAGGTGAATAATGGTCAACAATTCGGAGTGTGGATTCAATCTTTGGGTTTTTGTGGTGTGCAAAATGAGGGGGGATCACTGTTTGCAGGTGTTCCATCTTTGTTTAAGGGAGGGGGCTCTGAGCCAATGACTGAAATTCTTTCCCAAGAGGGAAATCTAGGGACCGCCAAGACATTCCCAGCTCTGGGTTCCCCACGTGGAACCTACACCGTCAACCCACATTCTAGACCTGAAACTCTGCAACCTACAGCCCATACCCTGCACTCGGAAGCTTTTGACTGTCGAGACCTGATCCCTAAAGCCCTGTCTCCTAAACCCCAAACTCTGAACCTTAGATCACGGGCCCCGCATGGTCCCTATGTGTTGCCTGGAAGATGTTCGGTGTATAGGGTTCTGCAAGACAAGACACAATTGCATCCGCTGTGTGACTGTTTGCATCTTTGGTTGCAAGTGCAGGTGCGCAAGGGTCCTGATGAAGATCTTCTGCGATCCCAACTTGAGACAGCTTTGAAGACTAAACAAGACAACAGGCGAACGTAGCAAAATGACCCAAAACAACCCTTACTTGGGGCACCCTTTCTGTCCCTCAGGTCCCAAAAAGGCCCTCTGTTCTGACAGAACCGCATATCTGCATGCACATGCTAGGTTTCAGCAAGGAGCTCAGAAGTGCTCTCAAGGAAGAAGGAACTGAAAGCCTTGATCCGGAGCCTTGCACCCTTAAATCCTACCCCCATCCCCGGAACTGAAATCCCGAGCCAAGAGGCCATAAAAGATAATGTCATACTTGGTGCCGTCCCAGTTCGTGGCCCAGGACATGTTCAAAAACCTTTGCCGATATCCCGGTTCTGGAGCTGGGGCTTCATGTTTAGGATCTGACAGCTCACTGTGGCGGATTTGGAGGACCACCCCAAACCTGATTTTCGTGGCGCGACGTCACAAAATTAAAAAGTGTCCAGAAGCAGGTCCAGGTCAGGAGGTGGAGCTTTTCGGGACCTCTTCTCCAAGAGCTGATCCTAGGAGATGTTTTCCAGGCATGGTCACCTAGCCAGTTATTCAATGTGGTTTTCGCCACGGACAGAACCACTCCTGCCACTGAGTCCTCCACTAGCATTTGGACTGTTGTTCTACGAGCGAAGAGCTCAGAACTTTAGAGTCTGTGAGGGCTTAGAGTCTGTGAGGGCAACGTATACCACATCAGGAGCCAGGAACAACCTGTTTGGAAGTTTCCCAAAACTATCGTGACCCAATACAGACCGAAAATACTGGTATCCTCATTATAGGGACAGCCAAAGAAGTACCGCTAATTTTGGGAAACCCCTGTTTATGTTCTGCCTGCTGGTCACTAGAGGACCTTAGGCTTACCTCTGGTTAGCAAGGAATTAAGGAATGGATCTTTACATTAGCCTCTCCAAAAAAAACAATTTCCATGTTCTTTTCCATTCCCCTATATACCCCTTTAGAACTCTAGTTTCCATGTTTAGTTCCAAGTTCTTTTCCATTTGCTTTTCTATGATTGGGGCATTATATCCCTGTAGGTTGGTTTGCGAGCTTCGGGCTTCAATCCGCAGCGTTTCACTGTCCGTGCGGGATCAGATCAACTTGTAAGCAATCGGGTTCAGGGTTTGGGCTTTACGGTCTAGGGCTTAGGATGTAGGGTGTACGGTTTAAGGTTCAGGGTTTAGGATGTACGGTTTAGGATTTAGGGCTTCGGATCGCAGCGCCACTCAACTGACTCTCCAATTCCGGAACTCCAGCATCAGCTCTCGAATCTCCAAGTCCTCCGCTTCCAAATTTGTAGCAACCTGATAAGCCCCTAGGTCAGTAGATTGGCTGTAGAATAGGGTTTAGGCTTTAGGGCTTAGGATTGAGGGTTTAGCATTTGGGCTCAGAGTTTTGAGCTTAGGGTTTGGTTTAGGGTTTAGAGTGGCTTCTGCAAAAAGAAGTCAGGTTGTACCCTAGCTGAGAGCTAAGCCTGTCATTCTTTCCTGGTTAATCCCTTGCCCGCTAACAGCCGCTAACAATCTCTAGCTCCGCCCACCTAAAGCCTAAATCTCAGACCCTCAACCCCAAATCCTCCCAACCTGAACCCTTAAACCCGGAAGCCTACAGCCCCTGAGATGCCAACTTCGTGAAGTGTGTGTCGAACTTTTCCCAGGTCTCTTCGTTGTCACCGTCGGTATTGATCACGTCCTGCACATGTTTTAGGGCTCAGGGCTTAGGGCTGAGGAGCACATATAGGGCTCAACATCATTCTGCACTCACGCCTCGACTTTAACAGCTACTGGGCTCCGTGTGCACGCTTTTTCAACAAGCAAAAAGATGTACCCTCAAAGGTTCTACTCTCCTGCACCCTACACCCTGGAAAACACAGCCGTAGTTGAACGTCCTCCAAACCTTCCCTCAGAGAATCCCCTAGCCCAAGACAAAAGCATCCTCTCTCTAGGTCTCGTTTCGGCCTTTACTGTGAACCCTAAACAGTGTTCAACACAATCTGCATATCAACCTCTAGAGCATCGGCGCGCGAAGCACCCTTCCAACCGAAGAGAAGCCACAGGTTGAAGATTTAGGCTACTGGGTTGCAGGGCTTGGGTTTAAAGCTTCGTGCAAAATATGCAGCCTTACAAGAGCATCGCTTGCGTTACAAGACGGACAGAGGGCCCATAAACCTTCACACTACTCCCTGGCTCTAAGCGCAAAACGGAGCTTCACAGAAGCCCTATATCATGGTCTGTGATCCCATCAAAAATATCTCAACTCCACTCCTCAAGACTACTAAGAAGAACATACGTGGGGCCTTCAGGGACTCAGTGACAGCCTCGTACTTCGAAAGCATGTTTCCAGTGAAGTAGATCTGGGCAAGGCAATCTCTGAGCTGGGTCATGTTGTACCACTGAAAATGGGCTGCTTTTGTGTCTACTGACTCTAGGTGGCAATTTTCGAGCTGGTGAGTCTTGCTTTATGTATAGGATCTGGGGTTTAGGGCTTGGGCTGGTGGTTTTGGATTTTGGGGGCGGGGATCAAACATGAAACGCAACTGAAACTGCTCTTCTCTACTCTGCATTGGGCTTTAGCATGCGAGCAAAGAATGCGTTAAACGTTGTGCAACACTGTCGAAATGAGGTTGTTGGTCCTTGGGCTCCAGGGTCCATGTTTGTGCTGTTTGGGTTCAGGGTTAGGAGACTGAGGCTTCGGAGCTGTCCCAGCAACTGTTAGGTGTCAGCACGTGCCATTCTACCTTGTAATGTCTCTGGAACAGGGCTTTTGGCTAGAGGGTGCCTGTATCGCATGATAAGAAGTAGAGCTGCCGCCGTAACAAGTAGAAGGGCATGGGCACATTAGACAACTGAATGAAGACAAGCACAAAAGCCCAGCCAGAGCCTAAGGTTTAGGCTCTCGGGTTAAGGTTTAGGATTCGGGGTTTAGTGTTTTGGATTGCAGGGTGACAGGGAAAGTCCCCTCACTCAATCCCAAACACAACCATCTCTTGCAAAGTTCCTCCAAGGTTCCAGAAAAATGAAGCCCCTGCTTTCTTCATAACACCCTATATACCCCCTCCAAAAAAAAACTCCCAACGGGGTAGCAGGGGTCCTCTTTAAATTCACGACTGATAGAGCTTATGAAATAAAGGGATTCCAGTTCTCTTGCAACTCTTCTAGGGTCCTCATTACGAAGGCTGGGTTGCCAAAATCCACTTCTTACAATCTCGAGAAATCCCCATTTTGTGCCAGAAGACCTCCTCGATCGGGCTGAGAATGTGCGAGGTCTCCTGAACGACACCCTGCGCGGCAGGAGCCGAGTTTGCGAGTATCGAAGGACTTTTGGAGGGACCCCTAATAGGGACCCTTGTGGCTTAGGGGTCAATATGGGGACTACCTGGGGATATAGGGGTTGTATAATGACTATATAAGGGTTATATATGGTAATGGGATTAAGGGTCCCTATTAGGGGTCCCTCCTAAGATCCCTGGAGAGTGGGTACTTGGCGTAGTTTCCATAAATAAGGGGACCCCAATGTAGACCCCAAAATACGATGATCCTCATCATGAGTGTCCCTCAAAGGGAACACCTAATACATGGAAACCCCTAGTTTGATTTGAGAAGAGTTCGGGGCTTCGGGTAGGAAGGATTTCCAAGGCCTCGAGTTAAGGCAGGATGTTTGGGCGTCTTTATTTTGGGCAGTTCTCAAGTTAGCATCCCCCTGCATACTTCCAAAACATCAGCATCCTTGATTTGACTACCCTGAAATGCACCCCCCCCAACTTTTTACAAAGCACGTTTGCTGACGCAGCATGATTGAAAAGCAATCTTGCTGCTGCCCAAGACAAAGTGCTTCTGCTTGGAGGCTCATGGCGAAAATTATGAGCCAATTATGACTGTAGTTCTGAACCGGCTATAACCATTGGAGACTTAGGGCGCTTCTGATTTTGTTGAACCAAGTTAAGAACCCCAAATCCAATAATCTCGAAGCCTGTATGGCCCCCAAACTGCAAAGCCTTGTAAACCTAGAACCCAAAGATCCCAAGTCCTTAAACTCGACATATGGTGGGGTTTCAAGTTATGATCTGCCGAGCTGGATACAAATTTCGTACAAGCTAAAGTAGGGTTATGTTTTGGGGCGTCCGTATGACAAGGATTATAGTATTTTGGGATCTATATTCGGGTCCCCTGATTTATGGAAACTACCAAACATGAAAGAAGCTAAAGTAGCCCATGATTTCGGGGGGGTAACTCGTAAACCCTAAACCCTAAAACCATAAACCCTAAACCCCTAAACCCTAAACCCTAAAGGTTTAGGGTTTAGGGGTAACTGGCCTTTCCAAATACATCCTGCAGACCCATGCCTCGTAGCCATCGAACTCGTGTGGCCTCGCCTTGCCCTTGGCCTGGGCACGCTACGCGGTTTAGAGTTTTGGGCTCAGGGTTCAGGGTTTAGGGTTTTGGGTTTTGGGTTTTTGGGCTAAGCGTTCAAGGTTTAGGGTTTTTGGTTTGGAGCTCAGGGTTCAAGGTTAGGGTTTTTGGTTTGGGGCTTACGGATTGGGGTACTGGGTTTGGGGTTTAGGGATTAGGGTTTAGGGCCTAGGGATTAGGCTTCAAGGTTTAGGGTGGAGGCTCGGAGGCTCATGGGTAATTATACCCGGAGATAAGGGTAGGGTAACTGCACATACTGCAAGTAGAGGAACTTCTAAAGCCGAACCCTACACCGAAAACCTCTGTGTAGGAACAGAACGTCAAGAGACCTGCGCTGGTTTAGAGCCAAAAGGCTAGGGTTGGCGGGGGTAAGAGCTACGCCTTCGGGATTTGCCTTTTGGCTGAGGAGTTAGGGTTAAAGGGATTATATCTTGGGGATTAAGGTTAGGGATTCTCTAGAGTTTAAGCTTTAGGGGGTTGAGGCTTAGGAGTTAGAGGTCTGGGATTTTGCCTTAGGCAAGACGGTTTAGCCCCGACTCTTGAGCCTCTAGAGCTTACATCGAAACCCCCACAGGCTTGATAGACTGGAACCTGCTAACAGTCATTCCGCCTTACAGGCACGCGCTTGAGGGTTCAGGGCTTCTGGACTCCTACTAAGGGGCCTTTGTTGCTCCTATACTTTTCCTGTGGTAATTGCTACGAGTTCGAGGAATGACTTGCAACCTACAGCCTGACTAGGGCATTTCCATAAAGGGGGCCCCTGTAGCTTCAAAAAACTATGCTCCTTCTGTTCCAAGCCCACTCCCAAAAAGAGACCTCAAGTTCTTGGAAATCCTAAACCAAACCCCTAAAATTTAAAACACACTGACATAATCCACAGAACGCCAAGCCCTAACCTCTAGCTTTGTCGAAACAACGGCCCACCCTTACCCTGATCCCTCTGCATCACTGAATTACCCCCACAACCCTGAACCCCACCTTTCCAGATGAGATACACTAATAACCCGCCTGTGAAAAGGGCCCTCTTGCTTTGAAACCCTCACAACGTAACCTACTCCCTAAAAAAGCCCCCGGTCTGCAAGACAAAAGACAATTTCACATTCAGGGTTTAGCTATAAGGTTCAAGGTTCGGGGATTAATGTTGGAAGCTTAGTCGGGCTTACGCTTTGCAGTTTCCAGTTTAGGGCAATTGTCTGACATGAAAATATCCTGGAGCCATAGTACATGTACCAGCAAATAGGGGCTTAACAGACGAAGTACGTGTCCGTTTCGAGAAACACCAATGTACTGGGTGAACAGTTTTTGTTGCAGGGTATCGAGTACCCCCCCAAAAAAACACTGCATCCGTGATGGGGAAAGAGCATCACGAGAATCCTCTGAAATCAGCATGTATGGACGACGTCAGTCGATTCATGGCATCGGCACTTGCATGAGACTACACCTTAAACAAGACAGACCCAGTAGCAACACAAAGCTAAAGCAACAAACAGCAAATAGCAGCAAACACGACAAAATTGCACTAGCAACGATAAAACCAACAGTTCAGTGCCACCTAGGATAAAGGAAGTGGCAAGAAACAAGCACCACGGCAGCACTTAGCATACCGAAAGCAACAATGATATTTCCACGCCTCTCGGTCTCGACCAATTGAAGCTCAAATGCTAATGGAGTAGCAGCAAAGCCTATGTCCAAACAAAAATATGTGAATCCTAAAACCACCGGACCCAAAACCCATATACAACCCTGATCCCCAAACCTGAGCTCAAACCCTCCACCAAAATCCTAAACCCTAAACCCTGAACGCTCAACCCAAACAGCCGCGCTGCTACGGTCACGTACTTCTTTGGTCCAGGAGCCATGGCTCTGAAACACAGGAATCGATCTGGAAATATCTCACAGATACCTTACACAATCCTTAAGACAGATTGCTGTAATCCTTTTGGAGTCAGAGGAATAGCCTTCGGTTCCTGTAGCCCAACCCTAAACTCCCCTAAGCTACTTTCAGGCACCCCAAGTTCTGGGACAGGAAAGTGGCCGTATTTTTGCGGGTCTGGGAGTCCTAGCAGTGTGGCTTCTGGCCCATGTGAAGCTCACCTGTAACGCTGCAACCTGGAATAACCATTTGAACTTGGGGATCGTGAATTTGGCAAAGTCCAGTTTATTGGCAAAACCGAGCCAACTGGCTGAAAACGGTCGGGCATCAGTCTCTGCAAAGTCTCTCTGCGCCATGCCCCTAAAACCTCCCGAACATCCCTGTACAGCCCTACAGTCCCCCTTAAGTAGATAGAATATGGGGTATATGGGGATCTTCTTATAATATACCCAAAGCCATATTCTATCTACTTAAGAGGTACTATATGTCCATGGAGGAAATGTTGTAACACCTTCTACGCCCCCCACTCCTGGAAATCATGCTGCTTTTGGCGACCCTAAGTGGGTGCAAGATTTTCCCATCCACCACAAACCCTATACCCCCCCGTAAGACCCCACACCTCGAACCCCAAATTCACCGCGAGGTCTCCTTTGTTGCAAGAAACCCCCACTTGCAAATGAGCTATAGTCTAAACTCCTAGTATCCCCCTTAATAACCCCTACAGTAGTTCCCTATATTATCCCCCATATAACCCCTTTTAAGGAGTTTAGGCTATAGTACAAATGGGAACCTCAGGGCTCCAGCCTTGAAGATCGGATGGGCTTTAAGGCTCAGGGTTTGGGGTAATACAGGGGTCTAAATAATCATCTGTATCAGTTTGAAGTCTATTGAAGGTACTGTAAATCCGTCAAATGATCTAGAACCATGGTATTGGCAACTATTTCGACCCCTACACTGGTAAGTTGAGGGCGTAGGGCTTGGATTTGAGAGCTTACATTATAGGTCTTCGCATGTCAGACTATTGCCTAGCAAAAGGCCCACACGACGATGGTCCATGTTCCAGGACGTGTAGTGTAATCTGGGCACTTGGTCAAGTGAAGC